TTGTCTCACAGTGAATTTTCCGTATAAAATTAACTCAATATTTTATTTTATTTTTATTAGACATATGTTCCCAGATAGCACAAAGAAGTACTAAAAACGTCCTGAGTATATCTTGTATCAGACATTAGTAAGTTCCGAGTACGTCCGAATCAGGTCCTGAACCTTTCCCAGGACGTTCCAGGGACATCCGATGTTACCAAATCGTCGGTCCCCAGAACGTCCTAAGTAAGACATCCTCTGGTCATCCTGAAATGCTTTATTGGGGGCTAATGGACAAGCTTTACAGAATTGAAGAGTGGTATTCCCAAAGGCCCAGGCAGCAATACGACGTCTTAATTAATCTTATTTTATTAATTTGTTAAATGGATTTTATTAAAATCATTTTAATAATTTGCTCGTATTCGCTTATTTTAGGAATTGCAATTACTTCGTCTCACTTTTGTTTAAATTTAAGCGTGCTCTTCACCGGCACCGATAGACGGCCTGTTTCCCTCTTTTGGAGCTCGGGTAGCCGTTTACCTAGGTCTAAGACCGTTTGGTATGAAGCACGCTCCACAGATTATACACGCTCTAAATTCTACTTCGCCGCTTCTTATATCAAACACAAACAGTTACAGCGGTGAGAAGAAAGAATCGCATTAAAATGTCATAAATGTAACGTCTCCATTTTGACGTCTTAAAGAGTTAATAATATGATTTCAGTAAGAAGTAATAGAATAATGAATATATAATACTAAAGTCTTATTTATGATACCTACCCTTAGTAGCTTCTAATTTTGATTTCAATAAGAGGTCAGAAAAAAAGATACTTTAAGATGTTAAAAAATTTACTTCTTATTTATGAATTCATCAAGAACTCTTAATCTTGAGCTCCTAAAAATGAGTTCTCTAAGATGTCATATTGTGACTTCAGTAAGATGTTTTTCAACAGACTTCGTACAGAAATCTTTCTGAATTGGATGCTGTCTGGGGGGTCTAAGTTACAAAAATAAAATTGTGAGTTATCAATGAAAAACAAATATTTTGCACATGTAAATGTTGAAATGTCTGAAACACGTTTGGAATTGCATATTCCGCTCTCCTGAAACCGTCGGCTCGTGTGACAAACTCTTCACTCGAGCGGATATGCTGTATTCCAAACTTGTTACAGAATATACTATTATGTCATTCTGCATGACATAAACTATTTTTAAATGATAATATATTATTTAACCAACTTGGCACTTAGACCATTTGGAAATACAATCCTTCAATTACGTCCTTGGGACGTACCCAGTATATCCGCTATAATTTTCTCAAATAAGTAAGAAACTGGACGTACCCAAAACTTCCTGGGTTAACAGCGACATATAGCAATTGCAAGGGATTAGCGATAAAAACAATAAAAAATCAACCTGTAGTTAACCAAGGAGCATCATTCCAAAGAATTGCGCATAATATAGAAATTGAAACGCGTGTATTTTTCAGAGTTTTGCACTAATGCAATATATACAACTTTAAAGTGTAATAAATCCCTTTTTTTTAAACACTGATTTCCTGTAATTAAATATAAACTCAATAGAATCGCTCAATTGACAGGTTTAGACCAACAAATTATAAATGTTAATTTTATCGAGCGCGAAAAAAATTTTCATAAAAGGGCTAAAGTCACCCCCGGGGTGCAAAGTCACCCGTGTTTACGGTATTGCAAAAGAATTATTCCAAAAGCCACGAACAAACCCACCACACTTATAAGAATAATAACAGCTAGTGAAATAACATTTAAATCCCTGCTTCAAGATGGATTTTTCCACAAGAGCTGTCACTACCCAGTCTATCCTAGCACCCCACCCCCAGCTGCTCCCAAACCTTGCATCAAATGCAACTCATTTAACCATACTACTGAAAATTGCCAAGAAAAAACAACCTGCAACAAATGCTCTGCAGACCACGCAACTAACAAATGCACTACAAATCTTGAACCTAAATGTACTGTCTGTAATGCTATTGATCATCAAGCATGGTCATTTAAATGCCCCAAGCGACCAACAACTCCTATACCAGGGATTCCTAACATGCCAATTAAACCAATTAACCAAAAATCTAGAGAACTACCAGAGAAAATTAAAAAATCAAGGATTCACTCTTCAATTACCATCCATGATCACATAATAAACACATACATCAACACTCTAAATGATAAAAAACAATGAGGAAAAAAGGCAGGAACTTATTTAAAAACTAAGGAAAAAGTTTTTAAATAACTTTAAGATTGACACCCAGGCAGTATTTTCTGGAATCCGAATGTATATCCTAATGTTTGACCTGGAAAAACCCAACTCCGAACCCCCCACAAAACCATCCACGGAGGAAAATATAACTCAATATGTCAGTTAAAATTCTATACAATAATATAAACTGCTACTCAAAACGAAAACCTAATATTTATAACTACATACAACAAAACAATATCCAGTGTACAATGTTTGTAGAAACTAAGATCTCCCAGAACCTCATTACCCAATATAGAGCTGGAACCAAATATTACAAAAGGGAAATCAAATACACAATAAAACACGAGGAGGGAGTCTTGTACAAATGCATCCATCCATAAAATTAGACAAGGCAAACGCCCCAAGAATAAACAACCCTTTGAATGAGGTAATACATTTTACTCTTCCATTCTTTAATGATCATCTGCATGTCTCTTTAGTATATATACACCCTCATTCCAGAATAGAGGAAACTATTTTTACAAAAGCTTTCCTGTACAAATACTCCTTGATTGTCGGAGATTTTAACGTAAACAGACAAAAAAAGAAACAATTATCAACATTTACAAATAACACCAACTTTGTACAACACTCTGCTTAAAATACCCCATAGAGACCTATACAAAATAATCTATCGGGCGCTACCGGATTCTATATGTGCATTTGTCCATGTTTTTTTCCGGATACGGCCCGATAGAAAATTTATAGGAAATTACCTATAGGCACACCATAACTTTTACATTTTCCCTATAGAGACCGATAGCAAATAACTCAATGAAGGATATATAGGGATATCACTATAGAACAACCATAAAACATTTAACAAAATTTTATTAAAACCTATGGGGTCCTATGGGGGAAAAACTAATTTCTACATTTATGTGTATTTTCCCCATTGAAACCAATAGCAAATAAATCAAGGGTGGATATCCCTATAGAAAAACCATAAATCCCAACTAAGGGTCCTATACATACCGATACACCCTATAGAAACACCATACATTCTGATACAATAACTATCGGTTTGAACTGGGTCTCTATGGGGTATTTTAAGCAGGGTGCAGCCCCCACCTTTCACATGGCCAATAATACCGATAGTACACCAGATATCATCCTCTATTCTGAAAATTTAAAAATATCATTGACAAAATAAGCCTTGTTCCTGATCTGTGTTGTAACAATCCACCCTTCACCACTTAAATAATGATAGAGTTGCCACCACCCTCAAAGTAAGGGAAATATAATATAAATAAAATGATAAGCGTTCCTCGGAGCGTAAGTTTCGTAGCCCTGAAATATCTTTGGATATTGAAATGAAAAACCTGAGTTTGTACTAAAACTAAATATATTAAGTAATAATAAGCAAATTTAACTTACAAAAGAAATTTAAAATACAAAATAAAAGTTATTTCTAATAACTAATAACAAAATAAAAGATAAAATTTGAATTAAAGATAAAAGATTATTATTATTAGTTTTTCTTTTTATAATTTTCCCCATAGAATAAAAAAAATAATAAAGACTTAACGTTTGGGTTTGCCTGTAGTACTAGTGGAACTGTTCATATATGTGCACCGAAAACTAATAAACTTCACACTACTGTTTTTTATAAATTTAAAACTTAAAATCCGAACTTGCAACACGAAGATGTTAAAGTGTGCTTTCGCGACCGAACCGTTTTATTTGAATAAAGAAGAACTCTCGAAAAAATCCAAGTTCCGTTTTTATATGAAAACTACGGGAGTCAAACCAATGAAAATTTGTCAATCTTATATGATTGCCCAATAAGAAAGAGTGGCCTGATTTTAATTAACGAATCAAATTAAAGACCCTGAAATATTCTAAGAATTATTATGTGACCTATTTTCCATCGAGGAACCCATCAATTTTGATTTATTTATTGCTCGGTACTATTTGCATTTCCACTAAACATGGGCACTGTTTATATTAACTGTTGATTTATTATTTCCCAATTTTACTTAGGTATTAATGTCTGCACATAAACTATTTCAAAGATAAACAAATGCGAATATTTATATTGCTTAATTAGCTCCTTAATTGAACATTGACCCAGGTCCGGTTTACTACAATGCACCCCCAATAAATAAAGAATGCATACTCCTAGTATCATTCCTTTTACACAAAATACAATGCATCCCCAGTAAAGCATCGATGCATATCTTATGATATTCTTATTAGATACAAATAAATCTGAAATGAGGAGTAATAATAATCTTATATCAAAACTAACTAAATACTTCTAAGCATGCAGGTAAACACATTAAAACTAATGTGTGAATATAACTGATGTGTGTACAAAATATTAAAATATAGTTAAAATATAGGTTAAATATAAACCTAAAAATAAATATAAAACAATATAACAAATTAGTGCATATAAAATAATTGTTTGAAATTAAGTGCATTTATACAATTATTATTAAACATTATAAAAACTAGTACATTTATAATTTGTACTAAAAATTTTAAATTAACACTTAGGCTCAGTCCAATGTGAACTTGTCGGTGTACTCGCGGTCGTAATGTTTATTTTGGTTTCTGCTACTGTCTGTTCACTCGCTTTTTCAGTCTCTGGTCTAACCGTACTTTTATGAATTACAAAGAGCGTTAAAGTGTCCCACAAACTTGCTAATAATTTAAAACTTAGGCCCACAATTTTATAAAGGTTTATTCCATTTAAAATGACTTTTAAAATATATTTAATAATGTTGAAAACGAAGAAAATACCAAAAAATCCCGCAAAGAAAAGTCCAAAACCTGTGAACCAACCCCAAACAGTTTTAAAGGTGGATCTTGCCAGTTTATGCATCTCCTTAACATCGAAAATTTTCAGCGTTGAAAATCCTTGATCACTTACATCATATCCTGCAATTCGGCGAGCCAAAATATTTTGAACCGCCTTCCTCTCGCTACCAAATACGATACTCTTTTGGGCTTTAATAACTTCATCATTTGTGTACAGCCCAGCTGCACTAACTGGTTTTATGGAAGCAAAATAAATTTGTTTTTCATTTTCGGGTTTAAGTTTGTGTGGTTCGTCCATTACAACAGGATGAGGAACTAAACCAATCCATTTTCCATTAATTAGATACATTGGTGGAGCAAGAATATTACATTCTATTTCTTCTGCGTGATATTGTATTATATGGGTTATTGGAGCTAAAAATGCTGATTCATTTGAGACTAAAATAGGTAATTCATTATAGCAACGATCTGCCCTTCGGAGTTCCACACTTCTCGGCGTACATTTCATTATGTAGAGTACTTCTCCCAATACTCTTCCTATATAACCAATTTCTTTTTTCAGTAAAGAACTTATTGCAGTGGGTGTTAAAGGAGCTAACAGTAGTCTGTTTATTAGAATATCTCTTTTTAATAAACATCTTCTATGGATTGTATCCTTATAAAGTGCGTTAATTGACCTTTTATATGATTGCTCCACATACAAAAATTTACTGTTGACATAAGCTAATAAGTTTATATCAGCTGTATTTACCGTAACTTTAAAATGTTCTCCTTGTCGATTTTCTTCCATTAATATTAATATCTGTGGATGTTCTGTATAAAACATTTTTAAACCACATAATTCAAATTTCTTCAATAAAGTTAACGCAAAAACTTTATTTTCTTCCTCGATTACAATAAATTTATTCGCATTCTTTTCAGTTATTTCATATCCAATACCCTCAAACAATATTGTAAATTTGTCCCAACAGGTTTCATCAAAATTAAGTTTCCATGCTGTATCTCCATATGTGGAATCAAAACAATATCCCTTTGTAAATGGACAAACAATTTGATCTTTTAAACTTAGTTCATCATCATCAAGCTTTAATTTTGCTAAGTATTGTAGAGTTGAAATTTTAACTGTGGCACTTATTACTACGTTCTCCCAAATCCTTCCATTTTCTTGATAATTTCCGCCTTTACAATCACCACCATCGGTTTTACTTCCCACAATTACAGTATAAACCGAAGTAGTTCCATTTAGTACAATATTTCCAATAATTTTATTATAAAAATTGAAAGTTTTTAAGTTATGTATATCCATACAATTTTCACGTCCTACAGGATGAATGTAGCTATATAATCCCCCTTGGACCATTGAACTATGAGAATGCATACCACAATGAGTTATGAGCCTTGTTACTTCTATTAGACAAGAGTAAACCATTACATATTTCGTTTGTGTCTCTTTGTAAAACACTTAATTTTAATTGTCTTTCACTATAGTCAGTCTCTAAAGTTCCGCACGACGCGACATTTTTAATTTGTATTTTTGTAATATTCACATTATTGTTCGTACAATCAAACCCTATTAAGTCCATGTCTGACGGTGCAACTTCTCGCGGCGATTTTGTTGCGGCGACCAGGTCGCCGCGATTTTTTGGTGGTCACACGATGCAACTAATCAGCTGATCTAACCTGTCTCAAAATAGAACATGTTCTATTTTCATGCAATAAAATCGCCGCGACTTAGTAACTTTTTTAGGGATTTACGAATTTTCACTAAATTTTTTGGTTGGTACTCAATATTTATCAGCTGTGGAATGACAGATGTGATTTGCGTGTGCTTTAATCTGAGTGTTTTTATTTTTACACCGCAAAATACTTATAACTTTAAAAGAAAAACAAAATCGATTTAAATCAACATTAAATTTGTTTAGGTATTTTTATTTTTCAACTAAGTAATTTTCGGTTATGTTGGCAATCCTAGTAGAAAATAACGTCAGTTTGGTTGCACCGTGTGAACACCCTAGAGGCGAGAAAGTCGCTGCAACTAGTCGCCGCAACAAAGTCGCCGCGAGAAATTGCACCGTCAGACATGGACTTTAGAGTCTTTACACCGTTTATTAAAAGTCCCATCGCACACGCGAACAACACCGCACGAAACATTTTCGGACCTATAAAAAAAACATTTTATAAATATTTTATGACCTAAATTTTATATAATCGTAATTAAAATAATTTGATAAAATCCACACCAGTTACATTTAAAAAAAAAAATATTGTTTTACTTAAACCGAATAATTTAAATATAATAATTTCTTGTTTTTATAAAAGTAAAATTTATCAACGAAACATACAAACCTTTGGATTACTAATATCCCTATTCTTTTTCTTTTGTTTTTATGAATTTATTGCAACAAATTTCTAAAAAAAATTGATCAAACATAACAGTAGTTATAATATTAAGGTTATAGAGTAGTATTACTTTTTTCGCTTAATGGAATAATTAAATATTAAAAAGAATTACAGAGCTAATCTATCAGGAGGTCTCCTTATTCTCCTTGACCTTCGGGGTAAAACAGGGTGAATGTCAGGTTCGTTCACTTGGGGTACTTCTTCGGAAATTACTTCTAATGGTGTTAAAAAAGGTATAATATTTAAAGTATTATTCAATATTTCATCATCCTCATCCTCCATATCAATATTTTGATTATCTTCATCAAAATTATCAATTAAAATATTTTCTTTACTTATTTCATTATTATAGGTATTATCGTTTTGAAGATCCGTGGCCGTGTAAGGTTTTAGTTTATTTATATGGACTACGCAATCTTTTCTTGTATTTACTTTTCTTACCTTTACTGTAACTGGTCCTTTAATTTCAATAATGCGATATGGGCCAACCCATGGCTTACATAGTTTTTTAGACAAACCTAATTTTGAGGACAAATCTAAAACATATACTAAATCACCCAATTCAAATTTCCTTTCTTTTGCAGATTTATTAAATAAATCATGACGTTTATCTTCTGCTTTATTAAGATTAAAATTAACTTCTTTATAAACACAATTTAATCTAGCCATTAATTCAGAGACATAATTTTCCGCATAATCATATTTCAAAGTTTGGGGTTTAATTATTTCGTCATAAGGTACTATAGGGTTTCTACCATGAAGTAAAAAAAAGGACTATATCCTGTAGAAGAATGAATTGAATTTCTATAAGCCATAAGAATATATGGAATCCACAAATCCCAATCTCTTTGATCTTTAGCTATAAAATGAGAAAGCATATCCTTAAAAACTCGGTGGACTCTTTCCACTGCATTACTACTAGGATTAAATGGAGTTGTCTGTAACTTCTCTATTCTTAATAATTTACATACTTCCTTAAATAATTTTGATAAAAAATTTGTACCTTGATCCGTAATTAACTGTTTTGGTGTTGAATGCCTAGCAATTATATGTTCTACAAAAGCTCTTGCAACAGTATCTGCTTTTTGATCGGGTATGGGAATTGCTTCTACATATTTTGTGAAATAATCTTGAAATGTTAATAAATATTTATTTCCTCTATTACTTACTACTAATGGACCTACTATATCCATGTTACACCTTTCAAATGGTTCATTTATTTCTGGAAATTTTTGTAGAGGTGCTTTTTTTAAATGAGGAGAAGTTTTACGTTCGTTACATGAAATACAATTATTTATAAAATTTATAATATCATTACGCATATTAGGCCAATAAAGCTTACATTTCATGAGTTCATAAGTCTTTTGTTGACCCATATGAGCATAAAAAGGTAAACAATGATAATCTTTTAACGCTTTATTAACAAAACTTTTGGGAATTACCAATCTATCAGATTTTCCATTTCTATAAAGTAAATTATCGGCATCTATAAAATAATGCAATGTTTCATTTTCGTTATTATTTATTTGGGTTAAAATTGATTTACAAAAGTCATCTCTTTCTTGTTCACTTTTTAAAATATCTCTGTCCCATATAGGTTTAAACGCATCAATTTCTATATTATATGTTTTAACATTATTTATGTCGCATATGTAAATATTTATTTTTATATCTGTTTCCTTAAAAATAAATTTAATAATTTTTAAAACAAGTTCCCAACTTAATGTATCTAGCCCACAAGATATTTTTGGCATAGCTAAGTATTGTATTTCATGTTCAATACATACTTCCTTTAACTGTTTTATCGCAGAGATTACATTTTCATATGAAGGTTTATTGTAATATTTTGATTTTGTAATTAAATAATATATTGACCTATTTGGTAAATGTAAAAAAGCAACTCCACCAATTTTTTTCTTTTGTTCTAGTAATTCATTAACGCCTCCGAATGTTTCTCTAAATATTTTTGCAATAATAATAATAATAATAATAATAATAATAATCTTTATTTCCAATCAAATTAAAATTACATTCATACATGCGTATAAAATAATAACATGAAACGAAATAGAGTCATAATAAGATTATATGTATATATAAAAACAAAAATTCTATAATAAAAACTCTCTTAACACTTTAACTGCCGGCAACGCGGCTACCGCGTTCTTGTGTATTTTACAATATGCCGAGCACGCGGGACCCGCGTTCTGTACGGTGGCATAAAGCATGGTTTTTGTCGCTGGGTGCCGCCAACGCGTCTACCGAGTTTGTTTATTTGTTTTTTGTTTAGTATTTTTTCATATAGAACCTTTCAATATGAAACGAAAGAAACAAGTTTTTGTCCATTTTTATTTAAAATTTCTAAAAAAAGCCATCGGCACTGCAACATGGGCGGACTATTACGTCGGCAGTGAACGTGTTAAAGAATATGGTTCCAAAGTTATTAACATCTCTTTGATTTTGGATTTATATGTCCTAAGACTTACAATAGTTTTTATATCGTTTGGTAACTTATTGTACAGTTTGAGACACATATAACAGGGGCTCTTTTCTGTTAAGGTTAGCCTATGATTTGGGTAGTTTACATCTCTAGTCCGGGTATTGTATTGATGGTGAGTTTGTAATTCAAACATATTTTTATTTTTAAAAAAGAAAATTAGACATTCATATATGTACACTGCATAAACTGTTAAAATGTTTGAGGTTTTGAATATACCTCTACAGCTTTCTTTAAATGTCATGTTTTTTATTATCCTCAGTATTCTTTTTTGAGTTACAAATATTCTATCTATTAAGCTATTCCCTCCCCAGAAAATAATTCCATATTTAAAAACTGATTCAAAATTTGCATGGTACAAAATCTTTAAACTGGTCTCATTCATGTATTTGGAAATTACTCTAATACCATAACATATTGAATTAAGCCTCTGCACAGTTTGTATTATATGATTTGACCAATCCAAAAATTCGTCGATACTAACTCCAAGAAATTTAGTGTGATTTACAACTTCAACTTCAGTTTCATCAAGATTTACTATGTCTGGTCTTTCAATTCTTGCTAACTTTGTTCTAAAGATTAAAGAAGTTGTTTTGTTTTTATTTATGATTAGCTTGTTTTCTATAAACCAGTTACTAGCTCTACTAAAGAGAGAATCCCCTGCTGCTATTAAGCTATCAAGATTCTTGCAACTTGTAGTGAGGTTTGTGTCGTCGGCATAACATATTATTCCTTCTATTGGTGAAACTCTGATTGAACATAGGTCATTTAGAAAAATAACAAACAAAATTGGTCCCACTATACTTCCTTGAGCAATTCCCATATTACATTTGGCAAGATCCGAAAACCAGTTTTGACCTCCTTTTGATATTTTTACCTTTTGATCTCTATCTGTTACATATGATTCGAACAACTTTAAGGCATTTCCTCTAACACCATATAGCTCCAGCTTTCTCAATAATATTCTGTGGTCAATGCAATCATAGGCTTTGGATAAATCCAAGCACATGCCAAAAACAAGGTTTCCCTTTTCAATGTTGTTAAGGAGTGTTTTAATAAATTGAAAAATTGCAGTGTCAGTTGATTTGCCACGCAAATATCCATGTTGATGTTTGTTAAACAGATTACATTTATTCATATGTTCTATCAGTCTATGACACATTGCTAATTCAAATACTTTTGAAAAGGCTGGCAATAGACTTATTGGTCTGTAATTTTCAATTGAATTGTGGTCACCTTTTTTGAAAAGAGGTTTTACTAGAGACGTTTTTAATTGTTTAGGGAAGATGCCCTGTCTGAAAGAGTTGTTTATAATATAGCAAAGAATTTCTGTGATTACAGGTATAGTTTTTTTCATGATGCTTATTGGTAGTTCATCAACTCCACTACTATGCTTATTTTTTACAGATTTTGCAAGTTTACCTATTTCTGTTGGAGTCACTGGTCTTAAAAACATTGACTGGTTATTTGGTTCAATATTTATAGTCGTTGGTGTTGGATGCTTTAACTCTTTCAAAAGACTGGGAACCACAGATAAGAAATACTCATTGAAGTCGTTTGCTATTTTTTCAGGATGTCCTTCAAGCTCGATGTCTGCATTTTTATTTGTTTCTCCGGATATTTCTCGGCATATGCTCCACATACACTTTGATTTATTGTCGGATGAAGTTAAACGTTTTTCATAGTTTTTTGACCTCACCGCCCTTAACAAATTGTCATATTCTTTTTTTGTATTTTTATATTGATCTTTATACCTATTATCTACTCTTGAAAGTGTTAGCAAAATATCTAATTTATTTTTGCAGAATTTAATTTGTTGATTATCTATATTTTTATATTTTCTTGAGGTTTGCGTAATTGACCTGGTAGGAAAGCAATGATTAAAATTTGCAGTAAAAATATTTACAAAGGTATTCCATTGACTATTAACCTCTTTTTTGTTTATGTTGTATATTTCAAACCAGTCCTCCCCTTTCATTAAATCCAAAAATAATGATTTATTTTCATCTGAAAAAATCCTCCTTTGTTGTATAATATTTTTTTGGGCTAGTTTTAGTTTAATAGATATTTTTTGTGCGGTGTGGTCAGAGATAAACGTGTTTAAAACATTTGTCTCTACATAATCTATGTTTATGAAGATATTGTCTATACATGAGGCTGAATTGTTAGAGATTCTGGTGTTTTTAAAAATTGATTGTTTTAAACCAAAAGATTGTATCACTGATAGAAAATTAAGTTTATCTGCACTATCCTTCAACAAATCTATGTTAAAGTCGCCTGCGACCAGGACTATTTTGTGTTCAATGCACACAAGTTCCAACAGATGTTCTAAACTGCTTAAGAAATCGTTAATTTTACCTGATGGTGGTCTATATACACATATGATTACAAGTTTAGATTTTTCAAAATTACATTCCACAGCTGAATACTCAAATTCATTAGTCACCGAAAGTTTGGTAATAGTGTGTCTTGGTTGAAAACTGACACTTTTATGCACATACACTGCACATCCCCCATGTTGTCCTAATTGTCTGCAGAAACTTGCTCCCAATTTAAAGTTGTGTAAAGTTAAATATTTCAACTGATCCTCCGTTTTCCAATGCTCCGTAATGCACAAAATCTTACATTTTTCATGATCTTTCACCATGTCATTTAATCCATCAACAGAATTACCTAGTGACTGTACGTTTTGATGAATGATACTAATATCTTCTAGAACTGTTTTACATTTATTTTGATATGTTAGTTTTTTACCTTTTTTATTATCATATTTAATTGGTACTGATTGACCTTCTAAAAAAACTCCTCATTATAATTTATGTTATTTTTAAACCTCTCCAATCTTCTTCTGTATACTGGACAATCTTTATCTCTTGCCGAGTGGTTAGTATCTGACAGTTTCAATTTTTGGCAGTTTGGGCATATTAATACATTTGTCTTGCATTCTTTTGACGTATGTTGCTCTCCGCATTTGTAACAGCATTCTTTTTCTATGCAGTATTTTGCTACGTGTCCAAAACCTGCGCATTTAAAACACATTGCTAAGTTGATATGTTCTTGCACGTACACGGTTACTAAGTCAAAGAATACCTTCTGTTTTTTCAAAAACCACTTTGTGATGTTTGGTGGTGCTTGTAATATCCAGTTCTCTTTATTTTGGTTTCTGCATTGTTTCTTAGCTACTACTTTAATTTTATCACAAATACTGGTTTCTAATTCGTTAACAATATCATAATTTAATGTTTCCAGCTCTTTAATAAATTCTATATCTGAGAATCCTTTTTCAATTCCGGTTATCATGAACATAGGGTTTGAGATTACATTTTCTTTAAATTTAATGTTTTCTTTGTTACTTATTGCCATTTTTAATTGTTTTTGTTGTTCTGTGTCATAACTTTCCACTACCAAGGCTCCATCCTTTGTTTGTTTTATGGTTTTAAAGGCTTTTCCCATTTCTTTTATGTCAATTTGTTGCTTTAACGTTTTTATTGCTTCTTTGGAGTTAGTAACATTTTCAAATCTTATAATTGTTTCATGTTTTCTTGTTGTCTCTGGGGTCTTCCATTTTTCCGATATTATTTTGGATGCATTTGTATGCTGATCTCCGTTTTGGTTTTCATTTGCTATTTGGGCATATGTTTTTTTATTTTGACTGAGGTCTCTATCATTTGGTTTAGAAAGGGATTTTTCTTTATTCCTTTGACACATTGTTTGTTCTAGGATTATATTTTTATTTTCCAGCTCGCTCACTTTAAAAACTAACACTGTTAGAGCTCTATGTATTGTGTCCCGCGCCTCTCTTACTGATTTTTGTTCACTTTGGGACAAATATGTTTTTTCGTCTTGTTCCTCTTTTCCAGTTATCAGTGCTATTTGATCTAACGCTGTAAATACATTGTTGATGAGTTCTTCCGAGGCTGCCGGCTTTATTCTCATATCTTCATTTTTTTGAGTCTCGATTTCAAAGTTCATTGTTCTTCCACACAATCTTTTATTAGACGTTTGTTCTTGTTCTGGGCTTGAGGCATCTGATCTTAGTCTTTTACTATTGTTTTCTTCAGAAGGATTTTCCACTATTAGATCGTTTCCCGTCATTGGAGGTGTTCTATTTACGGAATGTCTTGGATTAAAAATAGTGTCGTACATTTCCCTTTGGCTTTTCGAATTTTTTACAGTATCGATGTTTTCGGAGCTCCCTCGTATTTCCTTACTATTCGAAACTGCGCGGGCCGTGCAGCGCGTTTGTTGATTCTCTTTGTCCTTGTCCATGACCCCTATTATTTTGTTAATATCCGATTGTGATAATTTAGTGCTTCCTAGTGAGAAACTCCTTTGCCTTGGCTCTATTTTATCTCTTATTTTAACAGAAGGTTTACTGATTTTATTAGTATCACCCATAACTGTTTTTAATAATTAATTTTCACTTTATTTACAGCAAAACTAAAGACACACTATTTAAGCAATGTTCTACGATCGCGTATAGGTACCCTTTGACATAACAAAATCTTTACTTACACAATGAGCCAACGAAAAATGTTCTGGACACAAAAATAAGTCCCCCTGTACTTCTTTAATATTTTTATTTTCTACTGAATTATTATTACAAAAATTCAAAATATTTGAACTATTATTAATTAAAAACATTCTTGATAATGCATCTACGTTTCCATGACTTTTACCTGGTCTATGAATAATGTCATATTCATATTCGCTTAATAATAATGCCCATCTAGCCAAACGCGAAGATGGATCCTTTAAGTTTGTTAACCATTTAAGAGGACGATGATCTGTTACAATAGTAAACTTTTTTCCGTACAAATAACATTTGAATTGTTTAATACCAAAAATTACAGCTAACATTTCTTGTTCAGTTACTGAATAATTTGATTCCGCTTTATTCATTTTTCTACTAGCAAAAGCTATTGGTTTTTCAAAACCTCCCCTTACTTGTGATAAAATCGCCCCTAAACCTGTTTTACTTGCATCTGTAGCTAAAATAAAAGGTTGTGAAAAATCAGGATAAATTAAAATAGTATCCGATGTTAAAATATTCTTTAATTTATTTATAGCTTCCAAAACTTTATTTGTTATTTCAAATTTAACTTCTTTTTTCGTTAATTCTGTAAGAGGAAATGCAATATCTGAAAAATTATTTATAAATTTTCTGTACCAACCTACAAGACCTAAGAATGCACGAACTTCTTTAATGTTTTTGGGAATGGGAAATTTTTGTATGCATTCTATTTTTGTATTATCTGGCTTTAAACCTTTATCTGATATAAGATGTCCCAAAAATTTTACTTCTTTCAGCAAAAAATTACATTTATTTGGCTTTAATTTAATATTTGATTCATCTAATCTATCAAAAATTTTTGTTAATCTTAAAATATGTTCCTCGATTTTACCACCACTAAAAACAATTACATCATCTAAATAAATTGAACAAATTTCATTAGTTAATCCAGATAACATTAGCTGCATAAATCGCATAAAAGAGCTTGGAGCATTTACCAAACCAAAAGGCATTCTCGTATACTCGTAATGACCATAAGGTGTACTAAATGCTGTTTTTTCTATAGACTCAGGAGCCATTGGTATCTGGTGATAAGCCGATTCGACATCAAAAGTACTAAATAATGTACAATTACTAAATAATTCTATTGACTCTTGTAAATTAGGTATGGGATAAGAGTCTGTAATAGTTATTTTATTTAATTTTCTATAATCCACGCATTTTCTAAGTTTAATACTTCCATCTTCCAATTTTCGTGTAACTAAAACTACAGGGGCTGACCAAGGAGATTGAGAGTGGCGAATTATATCTGATTTTAATAATTTATCTATTTCTTCTTTTAATTTTTCTCTTAAATGAAAAGGAACTCTATATGGCTTTGAGGAAATTGGAATTTCGCTAGATGTTTTAATTTTATGGGACATTTTATTTGTACATGTTAATTTATCATTTTCTTTACAAAAAATATGTTTATATCTACATAAAACTTCAGTCACCCGGACAACAATCGGGATTTCCTGGTGAAGTCATGATGATATCACAACGTGATTTTTTTATCACGGTGTGATATCCTGAGTGCATACACATGCTTCATCACAGTGATATCATGTAGAACTCACGTTGCGATATTTGCAAAATTTGCGCATGCGCATGAGCCCTGCGAACTTCGAATTTAAAACCTACCCGGACAACATTCGTGATATTCATACGAACATCATGTCGAGATTTTCACAAATTTTATTCATACTGATATCATACGGAAGTCACCGCGTAATAAATGAAAATCATACGAACGTCACGTCGTGATTTTCACAAATTTTGTTCATACGGACATCATCCGGATGTCACTGCGTGAGAAATGAAAATCATGTCGTGATTTTTTATGCCATCGCTGTTTGCGATTGAGCGATGGCACAAAAATTCATGTCGTGATTGTTTTTGCCAACGGTGTTTGGATAATTATTTTTGCGCCACGTTCGTACACTAAGAGAAAAATTATGTTGAATCAACAGTTTTTGCGGTTAAATACATTTAATATTTTCTTGGATTTAAATAAACTATATATAATTAATTTAAATCCAAGAAAATATTGAATGTTAAACTGTTGATTCAATTGTTAACATACTTTTTCTTTCAATGTACGAATGTGTCGCAAAAATGAATATCCAAACACCGATGACATAAAAAATCATGTCATGATTTTTTATGACCAAACACCGATGGCATAAAAAATCATGTCGTGATTTTTTATGCCATCGGTGTTTGAATTTTTATGTTTGCGCCACAATCGTACATTGAGAGAAAAAGTATACCTACATATACAGGGTGTCCCATAATTAGCGTGCAATACTTTAACAGCAGATTCTACGTATAAAAATAAGAAAAAAAGTTCCTATAAAAATAGGTCGAGAAATGATTTCCAAGGGAGCTACAGCCCCTGAAAGGGGAGCCCCTGAAGATGGTTTTTATTTAATATCTCCAAAACTGTTTAAGATAGAAAAGTGAAATTTTGGGATATAATCAAACTTTTTATAGTCAATAAGTTGGAATAATAACTAATTCAAAAAAACCATAAGGGGTGAGTCAGATAGAAAGGGAGTGGGGGTAAAACTACCCTAACTTTTTTGTACGTATCTTGTGCTATGATTTGATATCAGATCATAAAATTTCAGAGTTTTACACAAAAAAAAGTCCTCTTGATAAACTTCGATAGCATGCACCGTTTTCGTTTAAAATCGATTTAAAAATTACCTTACATAGCAAAAAAATTCATAATGAAATCACAACTAGAGAAAAAGATTCAGCGTAGGCCATGGACAATTTTTAAATATGACCATGGACAAATTTTAAATACCCTGTCACATATTACATGAAACTGTCACCTGTCTTAAATAATTTTTCCTAAAGATGGCAGCTGTGTTCCATGGCCTACTCTGAATTTTTCTCTCTTGTGAATTCATTATGATCTTTTATGCTATGTTAGGTAATTTTTAAATGGATTTTAAGCGAAAACAGTGGACAATATCAAAGTTTACCAAGAGGACCTTTTTTGTGTGTAAAAAACCGAAATTTCATAATCTGACATCAAATCCTAGCATGAGACACGTAAAAAAAGTTGGGGTGGTTTTAACCCCTATTCCCTATCTATCTGACCCACCCCTCATGGAAATTTTGAATTGTTATTATTACATCTTATTGGCCATAAAAAGTTTGATTAATTCCCAAAATTTTTCTTGTCTACCCTGGACGGTTTTGGATATATTAAATACATTCAATATTTTTTTGGATTTAAATTAATAGTTAATTTATATCCAAGAAAATATTAAATGCATAAAAAATCACGACATGATTTTTTGTGCCATCGCTTAATCGCAAACAGCGATGGCATAAAAAATCACGACATGATTTTCATTTCTCACGCAGTGACATCCGGATGATGTCCGTATAAATAAAATTTGTGAAAATCACGACGTGACGTTCGTATGATTTTCATTTATCACGCGGTGACTTCCGTATGATATCAGTATGAATAAAATTTGTGAAAATCACGACATGATGTTCGTATGAATATCACGAATGTTGTCCGGGCAGTAATTCCCGACTATATTTATCTAAATGAGTTAAATTAAATTGGTTGTTTACCCAATTAAAATCTTCTTCTGATATAGTATTTACAATAATTTCAGTTTTTATTTCATCATTTTTATTTTCTACATAATTTTCGGCCCTTGCAACCTTTACAATTGCTTCTAAAACAATATCATAATTATTTGAATTTATAATTCTTACAAATTTATTATTTGAACTAATAATCATATTGGCACAAAAAATACCTTCAACGCTAAAATAAATAGGTTCAATCAATATATCATTCTTCAGATCGTTTATTTTTACAGGCACATTAACCTCGCATAGTGCAGGAATCATTGATTCGGATACTGTTACAGCATAAAGAATTTTATTTTCATTACCAAGTTCATTACCATTTTTAATTCGTTCATTTATTAATATTTGAGATTCCTTAATATCTTTAACTCCATTATTTTTACTTTTTCCGACGTTATTATTATTATTAAATATAGCAAAACCTTTCTCATTATTATCACTAAACTCATTATTCTTAATTGACTCAACATTAGCATCCCTAATATCTTTTTTAACACATAACATTCCTTTATTTTCTTCACAAATATCATTTTCTTCAACGTCTTTTAATTCCGAAACCTTGTTAAAATCTACTCTAGAGTTTTTAGAATTTAGAATAACACTGTTAGTTGGATACTCCGTTTCACAAACTCCACTGACAGTACTTCCCTTACTTTGAGTCCAAGTACTCCCAACTGTAGAAATGTTCTTCTTACTGCGAGCCTGAACATCTACCACAGGATCTAGATTATCAACACCCAACACCCTATTTTCATTATTAACCTTAAAATTATCTATTTCATCATCATTTTTCTCTCTACAAATTTCGTCATCATATAAAATATTCTCGACTTCATTTAAATCGCTAACATCGCAAAAATCATTATTATTATTATCGTCATTATCATCCATAAAATTACCTCGTAACCGTAGTAAACTATTTGTGAATATGTCAAATTTCATCCCAAATAACCATAAAATATCTTCTTCATACGAAATAACCGCTTTGTTTGTTTTAAAAAAATCCCTTCCTAATATACCGGCGTGTTCTAAAGGTACACTTGTTTTGCAAACTATTACATTAAACTTACTAACTTCAAAATTATTTTTATGTCCAAAATTTAACAATACTGTCCCTAAAACTGGTATGTTATGCCCTGAAGCACTTGTTAATAAAACATCTAAATTATTAAAATAAGTTATCCATAATGGAATGGCCTTTTTTTTAATAATTGTAACTGGCGAACCTGTATCTATTAAAAAATTTATTTTTATACCTTCGACAAAAATTTGAACAACACATGGAAAATCTGAATTTGCGGAAATATTTGGGATAATAATACTACTTTTTAGTTGGACGTACCCACTCGAGGTGCTTTGGCTACGTCGCTGGTGTTTTCCGACGGTTTATTATTATTTCCTGCTGATACATTATCGTTCCTGTTATTATTATTATATCTTGCGTACCTGTCGTTATTTACATACCCTCTATTTTGAATATTGCCGTTATATTGTCCACTATTATAATTTCTTTGATTAAAGTTTTGTCTGGAAAATTATTATTTGACATGTTTCTAAAATTTTTCGTAGAATTTTGGGGAAAACAATTATTCCTATTATTATCACCATTATTATTATAAGACCTATAATTTTGACGATTATTATTTGTGTAACAGTTCCTATCCAAGTGCCCCATTTTTCCGCAAGCTCTACATTTAATAACATTTACTCTATTATTGCCTTGGTTCCTTTGTAAAAAATATTGATTGGCTTCTTCTTCAATTGCGTATTGAACCGCTGTATCTATGTCTAAATCAGCTTCCCTCATGTATAAACTACCCAGATTTCTCAACAAATTTGTATTCAACCCTATTTTAAATTGATTCAAAACTAACTGTTTATTCATATTTTTTATGCCCGGTTTATCGGTTTCTGCGGCATTTTTCAAATTTTCCTCTAAAATTTTTATTCCCAATAATTTAATTCTTTCTACAAAAGCATTAACACTTTCATCAGAATTTTGATAACACCTTTGTAGATTATTAAGAGCCCTTCCTGGTAACTCAAAAGGCTGAAAACGTTTTAAAAATTTCCCTTTAAGATCATTAAATGACAAAGAGTTTAAGGATTCATCAACTTTAAAAAAATTATACGCTTCACCCGATAACCTATATTTAAAGATTTGTAAAGTTTTTTGTTCATTCCAATTTTCTAATTTAGAGCGCTGTTCTAATTTTTCAAAATAAGTCTTCACATTACCTTTCCCACCAAAACTTTCAACTGTATTCGCCAACATACCCAAACTTAATGTTTGTTGTGCAACTGTTTCTGTATCAGGCATTATATATATATATATATAACAAATAACAATTTTTTTTTTTAAACTATATAAATAGGATTATTAAATTAATATAGGGTAAATTTAAAAAAAAAAATTATTGCGCACACAACTCCTGCCAACACTTCAATATCCAAGACGATTTTAAACTTTCGCTGCCACCATTGTAACAATCCACCCTTCACCACTTAAATAATGATAGAGTTGCCACCACCCTCAAAGTAAGGTAAATATAATATAAATAAAATGATAAACGTTCCTCGGAGCGTAAGTTTCGTAGCCCTGAAATATCTTTGGATATTGAAATGAAAAACCTGAGTTTGTACTAAAACTAAATATATTAAGTAATAATAAGCAAATTTAACTTACAAAAGAAATTTAAAATACAAAATAAAAGTTATTTCTAATAACTAATAACAAAATAAAAGATAAAATTTGAATTAAAGATAAAAGATTATTATTATTAGTTTTTCTTTTATAATTTTCCCCATAGAATAAAAAAAATAATAAAGACTTAACGTTTGGGTTTGCCTGTAGTACTAGTGGAACTGTTCCTATATGTGCACCGAAAACTAATAAACTTCACACTACTGTTTTTTATAAATTTAAAACTTAAAATCCGAACTTGCAACACGAAGATGTTAAAGTGTGCTTTCGCGACCGAACCGTTTTATTTGAATAAAGAAGAACTCTCGAAAAAATCCAAGTTCCGTTTTTTATATGAAAACCTCGGGAGTCAAACCAATGAAAATTTGTCAATCTTATATGATTGCCCAATAAGAAAGAGTGGCCTGATTTTAATTAACGAATCAAATTAAAGACCCTGAAATATTCTAAGAATTATTATGTGACCTATTTGCATTTCCACTAAACATGGGCACTGTTTATATTAACTGTTGATTTATTATTTCCCAATTTTACTTAGGTATTAATGTCTGCACATAAACTATTTCAAAGATAAACAAATGCGAATATTTATATTGCTTAATTAGCTCCTTAATTGAACGTTGACCCAGGTCCGGTTTACTACAGTGTTCTGACCATCTAGGATTTCTTATAGAAATTAACAACATTACACAACATCCTTACCGCACCCCCGAAATATGGCTATTTGATAAAACCAATATAGAAATTGTCAACAGTAATATAGTAATTTTATAGAGAATATAAAAATCTGGGAGATCCGCTATTAAAAACAGAAATAAATACTTTTAACAAGAACATTCAAAAACTAATTCATCAATACCGACAACATAAATGGATAGAAGCTTGTGAAAAAATCCAAGAAAACTATGGAAGAACTTACTGGAAAGAAATTAGTAAACTAACTAAGTATAAGGGCACTTCGAATCAGTTTAATACACCCCTGGTAGACAACGGCAGAACATACGAAACAACTAACGAAAAACTTGAACTCTTTGCAGACTATCTAGAAGACACCTATAAAGAAAGTATTGATGCAAATTCCTGTGTAGCCCACTATAATGAGGTCTCGCAATGGTATGCCAACTTCAAAGAAGAAGACCTTCCTTCGACAGCTGAAAGCGTTACGGAGGAGGAATATTTTAATATCCTTTATAAAGGAAAAACACAGCTCCAGGCTACGACTGGATTACCAAAAATTACTAAGACAACTAGACTACGAAACACACTTGGAAATTTTTAAAATATATAATTATTGCTTAAACAACCAATATTTTCAAAAAAAGTGGAAAACTGGCATTATTATAAACATTCCAAAACCCAACACCGATAAATCCCAAGTAAAAAACTACAGACCTGACAAACTTGGCCAAAAAGTTCGAAAACATTTTATGCAACAGAATTACAGAAGCAATAGACACACGATTCCCCGCTATTAGTTTGGGTTCCAGAAGAATAAGTCAACCATACATCCTCTGACAATACTTATTAATAATATACAAACTTCACATTTGATGGGAAGAAAAACCACGGCACTGTTCCTGGACATTAGCAAGGCATTTGACAGCGTCTGGAATAAAGGGTTATTATACAAACTGCACCAGCTAAATTGCCCAAACAACATCCTAAAAATACTCATGAAATTTTTAGATAACCGGAGTCTGCAGGTATCAATAAACAATAAAACCTCAAGAAACTTTATAGCCAAACAAGGACTGCCCCAGGGTTCCCCTCTCTCCCCTCTGCTCTATAACCTTTATTGTGCCGACATCTACAATGAAGATCCTATGCTCTTTGACCAAGATAAATATGTACTTCAATACGCAGATGACACCGCTATAATTTCCATAGTACTCGTAAAAATAAAAAACTGCCTCTGACCAACTCCAAGTTCTGACAAATCAAATCTTGGCATGGTTTAACAAATGGAGACTAAAACCAAATCCACTAAAGTCTCATCTAATACACTTCCACTAAAACAAGATTGACCCTAATATAACAATTAAGATGTACAATGACATAATAGAGCCAAAGTCTAACGTAAAATACTTGGGAATCACACTGGATAACAAAGTAAACTTTAATCTTCACTCTTCCCTGTCAAAGAAGAAAACACTAACAAGGGCCAGCCACTTTAGAGGACTTACATACAACAAAAAAGGCATCAATGATGAAACAAAAAAAAGAATATACTATATAATCCTGGAATATGGATGCATCTTACTTAATAATGCCCGGAAACCAGCCTTAAGCAAAATTAAAACTGGGGAAACCTCATCACTCCGAAAAATCTCCAAAATGAGACATCCAACCAATTCTCTACACAACCCTCCCAACGACCTTTTGTATGCTACCTACAATATCTTACCAATTATGGAAAGATTTATCAAACTATCTACAAACTTTATTAACAAGGACGCTAACTACGACATTCTTAGCGAATTATGTTTGGAAGTACAGGGCAACAGAAAATTCAAGCACCCAGAAAAGACCATTTGGGAACATCAAATACGAGACAACATACTAATTAATTAATTTCAGTTTCACGATTATATTCTGTTTTTTTTTTGTTTTTTTTACATATATTCAAGATATGTTCACCGGCTGAAGGACCTCGGTCAATGGCCATTTGTAAGAAATTGTATTAACTTTTTTTTGCAATAAAGTTCATTTATTATTATTATTATTATTATTATTAAATAATTTTTTATATCTCTGTTAAAGTTTAAAACATCTAAGACTTTAATACTATTTGGAAGTTCATTGTACCATTGCACAGTCGTAGTAGTTACTCTCTTCTTTCCAATGTTCTTGGTAAAATATATATATTTTGTTTGTTTGTATGGGTATTGTAATGGTGAATATCACAGTTTTGCACCAATGATATGTCATTCTCTAATATATTATTTTTGATTTTATGTACAGGGAGACGACGCCCCAACCTTATTGTGAAAAAATGGTGACATTAAGAAAAAATACTGTTGGTTATTTCTAAATTTGAAGAATAAATTTAGTAAAAAAAATAAATAAATAAATTATAGTTTGGAAGTTATCACAATTTTATTTATGATTTTAATATACTCCAGTATATCTTTACAGCTAGACAAGAACTAAGATTTAAAATTATTATTTATTAAAAAACACAAATAAAACAGTTTTATTATATAAGATGCTAACTTCTCGACAGGTAACTCTAAAAAATTTTTCTGCATTTAATGAGCTGCAAGCATCTATAATTTTTTATTTAAGATGTTCAATGTTAGCACCATCCAAATATATTTCTTCTTAATAAAGCGGCACTCCATCTAAAAACTCATACAAATATTGATTCAAAAAATTGTAAAATCTGTTCTCCATTTAATAAATATTCATAAAAAAATGGTCCTACCAGATGTCGACCAAGCACCAAACATTGATCCCAAAATGCCCTTGATTTTCTATTTCGTTTACCCAATGTGGGTTTTCAATTGGCCAGTATCTTTCGTTTTGACGATTTGGCCGCCCGTTACTTTCAAATCTAGTTTCGTCAGTCCACAAAATATGATAAAACAGACGTGGGTGTTGGTTTTCTAGATTTACAATTTGCGCTAAAAAATCAAGTCTTTTATCCAGTGGCGGACTAAGGGGGGCGGGAACGGTTCGCCCCGGGCCCCCGGTCCAGAGGGGCCCCCAAATCTTGAGTAGTCTTTCTCTCTCTAATAAAAGAAATCTAAAATTGTATATACCTATGTATAGAAAAAATATTTCGATTTTCGAGACCCTCGGCCGACCCTTTACCATAAAATATAAAATATTTTTAATATTTTGGTCTTGCAATTGACTACCTTCAGGAACTAGGTTAATCTTGGACTAACAAGTTCAAATACAAGTAAGTTCGCTAAAAAAAAACAGTGATGTCCCTGATTAAATAAATCGTCTTGGGGCCCTGTGGCGAAGGACTTGCTAAGAGGATCTACTAACCAATTAAAAATTAGATAATTTTTTTTGTATAAAAGACTCTTTTCTTAATAAAAAAAATTCTTAGAGAGAATCTGAGTTTAATTAAAGAATATTTTTTAATAAACCTAAAATTTTAAATTTATATTATTGATATACCTCTTGGGGAGGGAAATGTTCAGTTTGCTACTGCGCATTAGCTGCATCTTTATGTGCCATAAACCACCAATCCGGATATCTGCCTTGGTCAAGTGATTTTACTTTTTTGACATACATTTACTTTTGGCATACAGTACTGGAGGAAGTAAATTTTGTTCAGCAATATCTACAGTCTCCAAAAATGACTTTGGATAAAGGACTTACAAAACTAAAATCCCTGAATAATTTATTAGTGACAGAACGAAATTCGATACTAGACAATGCTGTTACTTTTGGCAAGTGCAATGATATAGACATTGACATTAACAGACGAGGTGTAAGAAGAATACAGAAAACAATGCCGTGTGATGTAGCTCATGACGCTGGACTATCAATTCAAGAAGAAGTTTGCAGATTAATGTTTCAATGTATAGACCGATTTATACAAGAACTGTCGCAAAGATACATGGCCATGAAAAAAATTAACAAGATTTTTCAGATTTTTG